ATGTATTTTCTGTGGCGAGGAAGAAGAGGAAGCCGATGGACGGCGTTAACAGCGACGTCTTTTCTTTTTACCTATTTTCCTTTTTTTTCAGTTTTTTTTTCTCTTTATTATTAATCCTACATGGCACAATAATTGGTCCTAAGAGTTGAGGTGAATTATAAAATTCACCACAGGGGGTGAACCCAAGTTTTGTTCTTTTTTTATTCAATTGTCACGTCTCCACTACCTCTCGCTGATGTGCTCACCAGGTAGATCCTTTTTTCTGTTCTTTTCTAGATACTTCTTCCTATTATAATTGTTTTTCAAAAAAAAATAAGGGTTTCTAAATGTCGAAAAAAAAAGTTGACCCTCGCATGCGTCGGTGGTTTGACGGAAAGCCTTTAAACTGGTCGTGTTTTAGAACCGGTCTTGGTATTTTGATAAAACTATGAACAATTTAATAAAAATTCAAAAAAAAAAAGCTTTTAACTTATAAAAAGACTAACAGACTTAGCATAAAAAGACTAACAGCTTGAGTTTCTCTGGAATAAAACCTAGCAGTTCAATAGAAGACAATATTATACTCAGTCGTCATGAGTGGGAGTATGGAGACTAGATTACTAGATAACCCGAGATTCTGCTTCGGTTATTGTGACGTAATAACCGCTACTTCTAAAATAAACACTAGTTAATTAATCCGTAATCAAGACTTTTTCTTTCAACAAGCTGTTATTTATACTTTATAAATATAAAAAAAATACTGATGTTTATCCAAATATCATAGCTGTCTCATTAATCAAACCTGCTGATAATCTTTTTTTTTAACAAGTTGTTATACTTATTACTTGAAGTATCACTAGATATATAATACTATCAGCTAAGCAAATAAATGAACGGCAAGCATGGCCTGTTCGAAACTAATCAACGTTTATGTTGTTATTTTAAAAGATGCTACCATTAATGTATATATATGAAGAAAATACATATACATATATTCTTCTTGTGAATGATAAAATCCTAACTGTAGATTAATTTATTTAAAATTTTGGCTTTTAGCCTTTGGGAGTCCAAACAGGTTAGACTATTAGAGTTAATTACGTGAAGGAATCACGTAATGCAACTTTTAGTTGTGTATTCAAACAGATTGGCTCTTCAGGCACCAAATGAGACAATATGCATTTTTAATTATGCTTAAAAATCATTGTTTAGTTGTAGTCTTGTAGAAAATAGTTAATGAAAAAGTTGTGCATGTCTTCGTTGATTCCCAAAGTTCGATTTTAAACCATAAACCTATCATTACACATTATAGTATCTAGCTTAGAACTTATAACGAATCAACTCAGATTTTTAGAAGACTGAGCATAATAACTTTGTTGTTAGTTTTTATGTATTGTCTGTATAGTATTAATTTATCAAAAGATTGCATAGCATCCAGGGTTACGATCAATACTTTAAAAACATTTACGATAAATACATGACGTGAAATCTTTCAGGGACATGCATATTTTACATAATGGGAGAGAAAAGATAAGTACCATAAATTAGGTACTATAACAAAGAGATATATTATTTTAAGAATTTATGAAGATGCATGATCGTGCAAATTTTTGTTTTTCGCTCGTGCAAATTTTTTGTGTGTAAAGCTACACAATTCATATGATGGTGCCTTTTTTAGCCGTATTATCCATAATGTATGATAGATACTATTGGTGAGCTTTCATTTCACACTATATCCAACTCGATTAAATATAAATTAGACGTATCGGTTTTTTCTTCCAGCACGATTAGATATAAATTAGATGTAATTATTATTGAACGAAAAGATAGAAAAAGATACGTCACGCGTTAACACCAAGCTTCTGCCTATTAATAGTATGATTATTTTCAAGTGCTATCTTATAAAGTGGTTTGCCACCACTAATGGCTACCTCGTGTTTGGATTTCATTCTTTACCTATTCGTATTTTTGGCATAAACGAGGTTAACACATCCTTAAAATATTAATACGAATTATATTTTAATGAAGTAATGGTTTTAGCTATTAACAGTGATACTATTATTATATATATTGACCTCATAGTGGAAATAAGTAGAAAATGTAAAAAAAAAAATGAAAAATGTAGAATTAGGTGATTTATTTAATGGCAAGAATATGCTGGTTACTTAATACTCGTACTGTTTCATTTTAATTATCATTTTAGATTTATGCACACATATTAATAAAATAATTTATCTTATATAAACCTAATTACATTTCACCTAATAAAAATAGAATAATATATAACGTTTAAAAATTTTACATTAAAATTATAAAACAATATTTGTTTGAAATGAAAATTTTACTTTACAACGACAAATAAATTGAAACGAAAATAATATATATACATTAAACACGTTATTCATGTGTAGAGTTTTTTTCCTGATATTATATAGAGTTTTTTCCTAATCTTATGTAGAGTTTTTTCCTAATCTTATGTAGAGTTGATTGAGAAGACGCTTTGGGTTATTGTTTGCGTCGTCATACGACCATGTAAAATTTTTTTTTTAAACTTTGTTTACGACCATGTAAATTAATTAGGCACTTTATATATTCTTAGAATAATTTTCCAAAACCCGTATTAATTAATTACGTCAAAGTAAAACTGCCATAGTCATATATTGCCTTGTATTACCGAATAATACCGAATCATATTAACACCTATTTCTAGATCTGATTCTCTGTTAGAGATATCGAGTGCTTTAAAAATTATTTGAGAAGAGATTCTCGATAAAGAAAAAGAAAGCTTACCCAGCGAATTAGTATAGTAATTAGTATACTTTTAAACAAATTATTGAAATAGGTCAGGGGATCCATGCCCCTACGAGGCTCGGAAAAGACTTCAAAGGGTATAAGTAGATCCCACTTATCTACCTAGGTGTAAAAGAGCCATGCTTTAGTAAGTTGGGTATTACAGTGAATATGTTAGATAATTATTCGATTTAATGTAACATCAGCTGCTGACCTATTTTCGAATCGAAACTAGACTCCTAATAGTCGACAAAACAAAACACACAAAGACTACTCTTTAACGTCGAAGCCTTTGGCCTGTTCAACATGTAACAACAAAACTATCACGATTTAAGATTACTTTGTTTTCTTCTCTACGTTAACTTTCCTTTCAAAATATTTGGGGTCTTAAAACTTTTCTAAGAAATTTTTTTTTTAGAATCTGGAGATTTATACCAACGTAAAATGTCTAGAATTTGGAAGTCAATGTCAATACCTCATTGAGCTTTGCCCAAATCCGGCCATGTCTGCCATGCACACTTATGTATTTTGAATGAGAATTAATTAATTTTATATTCAAATTTATTGGGTTTTAATTTATTTTTATTATTGGGTTTATTTTTATTAGTCACAGAATCCATGTGTACAAACATGTCTAAGAAAAAAAACATTATCTCGAGGGGACACCAGAAACCTTAGTTGTAACCCTTATAAGAAAAACTGAATGTGGAGAATGATCATAAATCGTGTAATCAACGATATGCACATGCATGTAATAGAATAGTAAATACGTATTGTCGTACAGACAAGGATGAGAAAAACATTCAAAGTTTGGTCTACTCTTCGATCTTCAAGAATGTGAACAATGTGGTGCTCGTTGACAAAGAAAAGAAAGAACGATGTGATGGTCTTCTGCATAATTGTTGGGCTTAGTTTTACTAATGGGCTTAAAGTAATTATAGTGGTTAACACACCCATAGTGTCTCACTGTCCGGCTTACGACTCATAGTTTTTAGTTGCATACGTCGATGACATGACACAGACCTTGGTAAGCACTCAACAACCTTCCACACAAAACTAATATTTTATACGTCAATGACATGGACACAGACCTTGGAGAGCACACAAGAAGCTTCTACACAAAAAATAATAAATAATAATATCCATTGGAAAAAAAAGTAAACCGACGTGTCCACCTCACGAAAAACCAAAGGTACTACCAACAGATTAAAAAACCATTAACTTAATTTTATATATTTAAAATAAGAGAACTATTTGACCGAGGCTTATCCAAAACCGCACGTCAAGGCAGTATAAATATCGACTGGGTTGAAGTCTATTGGTCTATAACCGGAGATAACCAATCGTGAAAGACAGAGAGATTAATTAACCGAAGCAAGAGAAAGTGTGACATGGCGGACATAGCTATTTTGGTGGCGGAGGAGTACGAGCGGAGAGTTAAACAGACGCCGGATGCGAGATCGGCGTCGTTGGAATTTGATTGGTGGAAGAATGTTCCGGCGAAGTTGACTATAGGAGTCAACGAGAAGAAGATAGAGTGTTTGATGAATAAGTTTGAGGCTAAATCTGACTTTTCTCTCGCCATCTCTCATGGCCTCTTCTCTGCTTGATACCTACCACTTTGTTCATAATCTAATTTCGTTTCTTAATGAGTCAAATGTAACTTTGTTTTTCTCTTTAATTATGAGTTTATGTAAATAAGTAAATAATTATGTAATTTGCTGTTTATTTAATATGACTTTGTTTTACCTCAGACTTTGTTTGAATCTTTAAAAGTGAAAGAAAAAACAAATATCAAAACTTCATCATCCTTTTGCTGTGTTGAGAAACTTCGGCGTAGTTATTGCAATTCGGTCCTTAAATTCCGAATTTCTCTTAAAAGAAGCATCATATTTTCCTTTTGTACATAATAATCCTTGCTTTTTTAATTATCTGAGCTAAGAATGGGAAGCAGCGAGGAGATGCCAGTGGTGCTCATCACGGGATGCTCTCAGGGAGGAATCGGCAACGCGCTGGCGCGTGAGTTCTCGTCGAAGGGTTGTCGAGTGGTGGCTACGAGTCGATCACAGACCACAATGTCCGATTTGGAGGAAGATCCCAAGTTTTTCTTACAAGAACTCGATGTTCAGACAGAACATAACGTGAGTAAAGTCTTGTCGGAAGTTATCAACAAGTTTGGTCAGATCGATGTTCTGGTCAATAACGCAGGTGTTCAATGCATCGGACCACTCGCTGAGATCCCAATTCAGACAATGGAGAACACTTTTAACACCAATGTGTTCGGTCGGTAAATTAAAAATTTTCTTATGATCACCAAGTGTTCGTTAAAATGCCTGACTCAGTTTTTTTTCTTTTGTAGGTTCAATGAGGATGACACAAGCTGTTATACCACACATGGCGTTAAAGAAAAAAGGAAAGATTGTGAACATAGGAAGCATCAGCGCAATGGCACCAGGACCATGGGCAGGCGTTTACACCGCATCGAAAGCCGCTCTTCATGCTCTTACAGATACATTAAGGTTGGAGCTTAAGCCATTTGGGATCGATGTGATCAACATTGTCCCAGGAGGTATTCAATCAAACATAGCTGAGTCAGGGATAGCGAGCTTCAACGAGTTACCTGAACTAAAACTATACAAGCCGTTCGAGGAAGCTATCCGTGAAAGGGCGTTTTTGTCTCAAAACGTTAAGCCAATACCAGCAGAGACGTTTGCGAAGGAGGTGGTATCTGTGGTGCTTAAGGAACACCCACCGGCTTGGTTCTCTACGGGAAGGTTATCGACCGTTGCGGCGATCATGCACCATATGCCTATATCCGTTAAAGATTTTCTCCTGACTAAGAGTTTCATGAAAAAGGGGCCAAATGAAACTGTTTGAATGTGTATACAAGAAGTGGAAAATGTTGCCTAACCATGAAACAAGCTAAATACAAAGCTACATAAAAAAATTATATGATAGAATGGGCTTATAAGCCCAATACAGTGAAGATTAAGATCCTAGTAAGCTTAAGTCTGGTTATTATCACAAAACTATGCTACTAGAGTACTAGTAATAAATCAAGGCATTAAACTATGTTTTGTGATCTTCCAACTCAACTCAAGTTATTATTATCAAATTACATAAAACATATTTCAAATTCACAGCAAATTTAAAATACTGTTATTAGTGTATATACTGTATGAATATACACTGAATAGATTTGATAAAAAAAAGTTACACTGAATAGATTTGTTTCTAATTAGTTATTTAAACAACTGACCCTGAAAAAGAAAGCAAAAGAAAAGCTCTTATAAAATGCATGAACTATGAGAGCTGCTAATTCAATATTCAATGGTCCACCATACTAATCTACGGTCAAGATTTTGTAAAATACATGTCTGAAGTTAAAATTTAATAAAAAGAAAAAAGAAAAAGTCCTTCACTCCAGGAGAAAGAACAGAGACGACTCTCTTTACCCTCTCATCTCCCTCTTCTTTCTTCCTTCCAGAAAAATGGATTCAAAACCCTAATTTCTCCCTCACCCAAAATCCCCACCAATCCTTACTCACACCATCAAAATCCTCACCGTTGATTTCGTGAAAATGGGTAAAAGTGGACGGCTCAGATGGAACCCTTTCAGCCACAAATCGTCTTCATCCTCTTCAAGACAGGAACAGAACCAGCAACAACAAGAACCTCCTGTCGAATTCATCTGTCCGATTTCAAAAACAATAATGTCCGACCCTGTCGTCGTATCCTCCGGTCAAACCTTTGAACGTGTCTGCGTCCAAGTCTGTCTCGACTTATCATTCATCCCCAAACTCAATGACCTTGACGACTCTCCACCAGATTTCTCCACAGTAATCCCTAACCTCAACATGAAATCAACAATCGACACCTGGTGCGACTCCGTCGGCCTCCAACGACCACAACCACCGGATTACTCCGCCGTGGAAACCAATCTCCGGCACCAGATGCCGCCGTCATCATCACCAGAGATCCGCGTCTCGGAGCGAGAGCTCCTAAGAGCGGTGGCCGACCGAGCTCCTCCGATGCCGATATACCACCACGCAGACTCCGACCTAATGGGCCGAAGAAAGCCCACCGGAGATTTTAACTCCACAAGTTCAGATGAATCAGTAATCGTGGCCCAAAGCCCATTTACTCCACTCCCTCTAACCACCAGGCCAGCTTGCTTCTCCCCTTCCTCTTCCTCCTCCGAAATAGAAATTATGAATTACTCTCCCGAAGAGGAAGAGATCTACCACAAGCTGAAGAGCTCCGACATTTTTGATCAAGAGCAAGGGTTGATCATGATGAGGAAGATGACAAGAACAAAAGACGAAGCTAGGGTTTCACTATGCTCTCCACGTATCCTTGCCCTCCTCAAGAACATGATTGTTTCAAGATACAGTTTAGTTCAAACTAACTCTCTAGCTTCTTTAGTGAATTTATCATTAGAGAAGACCAATAAGTTAACGATCGTACGGTTAGGATTCGTTCCGATTTTAATCGATGTGTTGAAGTCTGGTTCGAAGGAAGCTCAAGAACATGCTGCGGGTTCGTTATTTAGTCTTTCTTTGGAGGATGATAATAAAATGCCGATAGGTGTTTTAGGTGCGTTACAACCGCTACTTCATGCGCTTAGATCAGCGGAGAGTGATCGTACGCGCCACGACGCTGGTCTTGCTTTATATCATTTGTCTTTAAACCAGACGAATAGATTGAAGCTTGTGAGGCTTGGAGCTGTTCCGGTTCTGTTCTCGTTGGTTAGGTCTGGTGACTCGGCGAGTAGAGCGCTTTTGGTTATATGTAACTTGGCTTGTTGTAGCGAAGGACGGTCAGCGATGTTGGATGCTAATGCGGTTGGGATTCTTGTTGGGAAGCTGAGGGAGGAGGAGGAGGAGAGTCGGTCTTCGACCGCGGCGAGGGAGAATTGCGTGGCGGCATTGTATGCATTGAGTCATGAGAGTTTGAGGTTTAAGGGGTTGGCGAAGGAGGCGAGGGTGGTGGAAGTGTTGAAGGAAGTTGAGGAGAGAGGGACGGAGAGGGCGAGGGAGAAGGCGAAGAAGATATTGCAGTTGATGAGGGAGAGAGTTCCTGATGAGGAGGAGGAGGATGATGGTGAAGGGACGGTTGATTGGGACAGAGTTATACTTGATTCGAATGGGTCGATTCGGTCGAGGTTTGGTCGGAACAGAATGGTCACTCAGAATTCGTCTGGCTTCTAAAAGGGTAACATTACATTTGTTCTTTCATGCTTTTGTTGTATAGGGAGCAAACCTAAAAAAAAAAATTGATAAAATGTTTGTGATGAAATTTTTTGTAACCTTGTGATGATGATGATGACTCAAAAAGAGTTGACACATGAGTGATGTGTACATATGTGTTATGCGCATTTTGTAATATAAACATTACGTTAATGTAAGCTTACCAATGTGAAGTAAACTTGAGTTAGCAGTCTTGTCTGTATGTATAAACCAAATGCTTGATGACTGATGAGTGCTGTTGAGCTTGGCGAGCTTAGCAGTCCTAACCCCTTAGAGACAAAACAATGAAGTTGTTTCCTTCACCGTTGTCCAAGCGCCATTAAGTTCTTACTTCGTTTTCTCAGGAAACTAAATCAACGAATGTTCGTCTTGGACTTTTATTTAATTAAATGGCTTCGTTCGTATTTGGGTCATGGGATTTAGCATTAGACCCAAAGCTTAATAGTTTTAAGACAATCATTTGTATTTGGGCCATGGAGTCTAGCATTCAAACCCAAACCCATTACATATGAAAACGCAGCAAGACTTTGTTATAGTTCTTTTTGTTATCCCTGACACTAAGTAATAATCCGCGCCCTGCGCGGAGTGAAATGTTTATTTGAATCTATATAGTAGATATACATGTTTTAACAGAAATATATGTATGTAAATCGAAAAGGAGATTTGGTCATCTACGACACCTTGTTCTTATCTAGTTTCATGTTAGAATCAATAAGGACTATCTCAATGGTGAGACCACCAGCCGCAAAGTATTGTTTTCAAGTCTAATTAACTTCGCTTTGATCTTCATGGATTTGTATGGCTTCAGCTCTGAAACATATTTGGTAAAAAAAAAAAACAATGTGAAACAGGGTTGTATATGCCATTCAAAGTAAAGGAGAGATATCTTTGTCTTGGCTCATTCACTTTGTCTTCTATAGTGTTATGATAATATTGTTGCATTTATGAGAAATATCAACTTATTTAAATTTAGAATCAGTAAAATTTCTACAATTGTAGCATATGTTCCTTATATATGTAAAATAAATAAATGATGTTTTAATATCTAGAAAAACGGCAGCAATTTCTTCTCTAATAACTCATGTACGAAATATACTACTGGTAGGAATAGGGAATGAAATACTCGTTATTCATGATCTCATTAAATGGAATTATGCACTAACGTAGAAATATATTATGTTACCATACTGACTCCGGAAATTTAGTGAAAGAACAAATCATTACGCTTCATGTACTTAAGGGAATTAAAATTATTACCCATTGACCAAGTAAAATAATCATATAAGGATAGTTAACTAACATTCATTTCGAATATTCAACTATATTTATAAAAATAAATGAAGTTCTATGAAAAAAAGTGTACAAAAATGAATTCTACATACTAACCAACTAATATTTATAAAATTAAATATTACCCATTGACCAAGTCAGCTAAATATATTATGCTAAACTATATTTTATATGAGATTTAGATATGCTGCTTAATAAGAGATGCATTTTGATTAGTACCACGTTAGCAAGTTTGATATTTAATATCGAAAACATTTTGATATTTCTTTTATTTTAACCAAAGTGGATTAATTTACCCACATTATAAACCATATACCATAGAAGCAGAAAATATTTTACCAGTAAACAAACAATGTTCTTTAGATTATTGATAACAACCTTGGTTTCGATATTTAGAATTTTGTAAAAATAAAACCAAGCAAATAATGAATATATAAAAGCTTGGTCAATACCAACATTGAATAATCCAATTTTAGTATTTTTAAAACTGAATGGTGTGTTGTAATTATTCATTGACGTACAAAATCTTCTTTATCTATGATTTTTTGTGAACACAAATGATATATGTTTCTTATACAAAATTTTACGTGTTAAAATAAATTGCAGATTACAGACGAATTGTTTAAATGGTAATGTTTTCGTAAGTAGTCTTATAATTTTTATTTCAATATATGTAATATTTTTGAATAAACCATTCATAAACATATAATGTTCTGTGATTGTTTGTAACATCGATGATATATGTTTCTAGTACTCATAAAAAAAAAAAATCATATAGGTGATGTAACGCCAAATTTACATAATAATAAAATTAACCATGGACAATTTTATCTCTTGACCAATTCATAAACATGATACAATGCATTTTATTAGGATCGGTTTTGTAAACCGATTTTTCATAATCGATTAGACAATCTTTTATAATTCAAGGGAGTAGCATTAATAAAATTACATATGTCCAATAGCACACCTCTGTAAATAGTCTAGTAATTTATGTCTATTTTAATAATTGGGCTGAGAGAGCTTGTGAGATTGCCACATCAGTAATGGCAATTTTGTTAATCACACATGAAGATAAGATTTATTATTAAAAGTGCTTCCCTTTTAATATATAAGGGATTTAAAACCTTTACCTTTTTTTTGTCACAATTTTTTTTTTTTTTTTGTCACGCAGTTGATAGTAGAGTAATAATGTACACTATATATTATATGAATTAAGTAAGGAATCCGTGCAATGTCGCATGAGACCGGATTACCCATATGCACAAAAGCAGTGTTACTGTCTTCGATTCAGCATATGACCTAGAACATTCATAGCAATAACAAATAAGTAGGGTTAAAACGATAGAAAGTATAGCTGTGCTCCATTCTATAAAAATTAAATATATTATACTTTATAATTTATATTTTTATAAAAATATTGTTTATTTTTTTAGCGAAGTCTTTGTAACATTTCTATAATATAAGATTACATGTGTCTATATTTATTTATAGATGCTACTAAAAATTTTAAAATTAGTTTTACAATTTGAGATTATAATTCAATTTAATATGCAGCTATATATATATATATTTTATTATTATTATCACATTATAAATATATTTTAATATATTTAAAACTAATTAAAAGAAGCAAACACATTTAAACCTAATCATTTACTAAACTAATAAAGGTAAACTATATAATGAGTATGACATTCATAATTTATCTGAAGCCATATAAAAATATATGTATAGTTAAAATATAATTATTTGGCAACGTTAAGAGATCTTCTCCACTTACTTTTTGGTAAATTACACATGCATTTTTTCCTTATTATTTGTATTTTTTACAAAATTATATTTTTTTCTTTATCAATAGTGGATGTAGCTATGCAGCTATGAAATCTATATTTTCTAGAAAAATTTGGACAATGAAAGGATCAAAACTCTTTGATATACATCCGATATCAGTGCTGAATGTAACTATACATAAATATAAAAATTCTAAATTTTTCTAATTTATCGTGAAAACTGTGAGTTAATCCCTGTGGAAAGATCAAGTTTTTCAGATAAATGCTATTAGTACTAAAGTTTAGCTTCTGTTTAAAAATCTAACCATATTAAAAAATTATTTAATATATCCTAAATTTAATTTCATGGTACATGGGCATCAGCTATAATTTTTCAATGGGTAATTTAATAAATCTTCATCTTCCACGTAAATCAAAGAACTAAACCATATGAATCTCTATATTCTAAAAACCATTAGGACAAAAAAGTGTCCCTATACTAATTTGGATGCAGCTATGCATTAAAACAAAAATACTATATTTTCAAATTTACCTTGAAATCTTTGGGTTAACCTCTACAAAAAGATCGGATTTTTCGATAAATGCTATCTACTAATGTTTAAACTATTTCATGTTGATTAAAAAATAGTTAATCACATTATAAATTTTTATTAATGTATCTTAAACTCATTTTCATGATAAATGGATATCATTTCTAATATTTTAATAAGTAGTTTGATAAAACTTCATATTCAACCAAATTATGTGCACTAACTCTTATAAAATAGGTAATTTCTATAAAAAAGGCAAATAAGCTCTCAGACCTCTTTAATTTTCATCACATGTCACTTCATGATGAAATTATGCATTAAAAATATCTATATTTTTTAATTAAAGATCGAGTTTTTTTCCAATAAATGTTATGTATACTAAAATTTTTCCTTATTAATATTTTTTTAAAAAATAACTAACCACATTCTAAGGCATATTAATGTATGCTAAACATATTTTCATGGTAAATGAGCATCATTTCTATTTTTCAACGAATAATGTTTTTAAACTTTGTATACGATCTAATTAGTTTACTATAAAATCTAAGGTCTCAAATATATTTAATTTTTATACTATGCCAGTGCGTAATGCATCTCTGCATCAAAAAAAATTCTCTATAATCTAATTTATTTTGAAATATGTGGGTTAATCCCTACAAAAATATTAAGTTGTACGATAATTTCTATCTATTGTTTAGCCTATTTAGTATTTTTATAAAAATACCTAACCACACTCCAAATTTATATATATGTATGCTAAACTTATTTTCATGGTACATAGCATCGTTTATAATTTTTCAATGAGTAATTTATTTAAACCTCACATACCATCTAATAAGTGGACTAACCCCTATAAAATATCTATTTTTTAGAAAAACGGGAACAACCCTATTTATTCTCCATACTATGTTAGTGCATAATGCATACATTCATTAAAACAAAAATGTTATTTTCTAATTTATCTTGAAATATATGGGTTAACCCCTACAAAAAATTAAATTTTCCGCTAAATGTTATACATATAGGCCACTTTAGTTTTGTTTTAAAATACCTATCCACATTCAAAATTTATATTAATGTACTAAACTTATGTTCGTGGTACATGTGCATCAGTCTTAATTTCCAACTGAGAAATTTAACAAAACTCCATATACAACCAAAACCAATGAACTAAACACTATAAAATCTTTATATTCTAAAGAAATTTGGACAACAGAATATATCAAAATTCTATAATATTCATCATATATCAGTACCGGATGCAGATAAGAATAAATAAAAAATTCCATATTTTCTAATTTATTTTGAAAACTGTGGGTTGAGCCTCTTTAGTGTCATTCAAAAATATTGAACCACATTAAAAGTTTATACTAAGTATCCTAAATTTATTGTCATGGTACATGGGCGTCAGTCATAATTTTCCAACGAGTAATTTAATAAAACTTCATATACCACGTAAGTCAAAGAACTAAACCCTATGAAATAGCTTTATCCTAGAAAATATTAAGACAACAAATGTGTCAGACATCCTTAATCTTTATCATGTATATGTGCTGGATGCATCTATGCATTAAAAGAAAAATACTGTATTTTTTAATTTATATTGAAATTTATGGGTTAATCTCTATAAAAAGATCAAGTTTTCCGTTAAACGCTATATACCAAAGTTTAAGCTATTTCATGTTAATTAAAAAATACCTGATCACATTAAACATTGTTATTAATGTTGTTAAACTTATGTTCATGATACATGTGCATCATTTCTAATATTTTAATGAGTAATTTATTAAAATTTTATATTTCACCAAATTATGTGGACTAATTCTTATAAACTATGTAATTTCTATAGAAACATGGACAAATAAAATCTCGGACCTCTTTAATTTTTATCACATATCACTGCATGATAAAATTATGCATTAAAACAAAATACCATATTTTCTAATTTATCTTATCAAAAGATCGAGTTGTTTTCTAATAAATGTTATATATACTAAAGTTTATTAATATTTTTTTTTTAAATAACTAACCACACGATACTGAATATTAATGTAATCTAAACATATTTTCATCGTATATGGGCATCATTTCTAATTTTCCAAGAAATATTTTTTTAAACTTCATATACGATCTAATTAGTGTATTAACCCTTTTAAATCTCTATTTTCTAGAAAAATAGAAACATCTAAGGTCTCAAACATATTTAATCTTTATACTATGCCAGTGCATGATGCATCTATCCATCAAAACAAAAATTATATTTTTCTAATTTATTTTGAAATATGTGGATTATCCCCTACAAAAAATATTGAGTTTTTAGGTAAATACTATCTATACTATTTATCATATTTCTTGTTGTTTAAAATACCTTACCACACTAAAAATTTATAAATATGTATGCTAAATTTATTTTGATGCTACATGGCATCATTTATAATTTTCCAATGAGTAATTTATTTTAACTCCATATACCGCATAATAAGTGGACTAACCCCGATAAAACATATATTTTCTGGAAAAACGGGAACACTTAAGATCTCGAACCTATTTATTCTCCATAGTATGTCACTGCATGATGCAGAAATTCAATAAAACAAAATATGATATCTTCTAATTTATCTTGAAATATGTGATTATGTTTCGATAAATATTATATATTGGATTCTTTAGTTTTGTTTAAAAATACCTAACCACATTCAAAATTTCATGGTACATGAGCACCATTTCTAATTTTTCAACGTATAATTCTTTTAAACTTCATGTGCGATCTAATTAGTGTACTAATCCATATAAAATCTATATTTTCTAGATAAATGAGAACACCTAAGATCTCAAACATATTTTATCTTCATACTATGCAGTACCTTATGCATGTATGCATTAAAACAAAAATTCCAAATTTTCTAATTTATCTTGAAACATGTGAATTAACCCCTATGTAAAGACTGAATTTTTCGATAAATACTACATATACTATTTAGCCTATTTATTGTTGTTTAAAAATACCTAAGCACACGAAAAATTTATATATATATATATATATATATATATATATATATATATATATATATATATATATATATATATATGCTAAACTTATTTTAATGGGTGATTTATTTAAACTTTATATACCATCTAATAAGTTGAATAACCCCTATAAAACTTTTATTTTCTGGAAAAATGAAAACCCCTATAATGCACTCTCAACCCTCTTTATTCTCAATACTATGTCATGATGCAACAATTCATTAAAACAAAAATACCATATTTTTAATTTATTTTGAAATATGTGGATTAACTCTTACAAAAAAATCTCCAATAAATATTATACATAGGCCTCTTTAGTTTGTTTAAAAATACATAACTACATTCATAGTTTATACAAATGTACTAAACTCATGTTCATGATACATGGGCATCAGTTCTAATGTTTAACCGAAGAATTTAACAAAATTCACATACCACCAAAATCAATGAACTAAACCCTATGAAATCTCTATTTTCTAGAGAATTTTGGACAATTAAAGTATCAAAACTCTTAAATATTCATCCTATATAGTTAATCCCACAAAAAGATTAAGTTTTCCGATAAATGCTAGTTGTACTCAAGTTTAGATTTTTTAGTGTTGTTTAAAATATTTAACACATTAAAATTTATACCAATGTATCATAAATTTATTTTCATAGTATATGGACATAAATTATAATTTTTCAACAAGTAATTTAATAAAACTTCATATACCACGCCGGTTATAATTGTACTAATGTTATTTGATTAGTTATGATGTTCTCCTGATCACATAATGACAATTACTGTATATCAAGAAGTTTACAAATATGTAACGGAATGACAATTACTGTATATAAAGCATCACAAGAAATACTGGTAAAAGTTTATTAATAATTTTTTCTTTACCAATGACCAATATATATTTTAAAGAACCCTAGTAATCATCTGCTATATGGTCGGACCGTCGGAGTTGACATCTTCCTACTTTATGGATATGATAATTGTCCAGTTTATATTCGACAGTAATGGTACCCTTAATTCGCAAACTGCAACCTAATCTCTTGATTTAAACGCTATTATATGTTAAAGTAAAGTCGATTATTAGTGGGGATATCATATCTGCCTGTGTATATAGAAATATGATAGTTTCATCGATCGTAATGCACAAAAAGGTTTTTACCTTTTCAATTTTACGAAATAAGTAAAGAAAATAGTGGGGGCGTAGCTACTGCTAAAAAGGCTTGTCCTGCCATGCCTATGAAAAACGCATTATACACTTCTTTTCCTCTGAAGATTGCTTTAATTGAAAATGCATGATTCACTACAACATTTTATGATGTTATATATATATGTAGATAAACAAGTTATGAACGTGCAAACATCATTGCAAAACAACAAAACCGCTATAATGGTTTGTCCCCTAAATCTTCTAAAATCCTTAGCCTAATCATTTGGATTTCCATTCACCAGAAGGAGATATGAAGAAAAATATGGCTTTATTTCACAAAAATCCATGTTTTATCAATCATTAGATTTCTATGTTATAATTTACAAAATTGATAGATATATCAGAAAATTTTGTGTTTTCCTCTTCTGAGTTACTTTATTAACCTTTTCAAAAAGCAGTTTGTGTATATATATATAAGTAGAAAACAGAGATATTCTGAATTAATGAAGCGAGAACAAAACCATTGATTTACCTCAAGGTACCAAAAGAATAGATCTTCCCTATATCATAAATGGATAAAAATAACCATACTTCCCCCAAAGGCCATCCTTTTCACTTTAAAAAATGCAAATCGATAGATTTTGAGAGAAAATGGTTGTTATATGATCAAGATTAATTATCTTATAGAGTATTAACTAAAACTATTATTCATGATTAAACTCTTTCACCATTACTTTGAGAAAAAAAAAACAAGCAGAAGCTGACATCATAACTCAATGGTTGTTATATGATCAAGATTGAAGCAACTTAAAAAGAAAAAGATTGAAGCAACTTCTGTTAAAACAAAAAGATTGAAACAACTTTGCTCACTAACTTTTTTTCCCTTTTTCTGTTTTGCTTACTAATTGAAAATGCCCCATAGCTGTATGTGTAACCATCGAAGTTTGGTTTAATGACGACGATATGATTAAAGAAATTACGGGAGATGGTGACGTACCGAATGACGAGTATGACTGATTACTGTCGGATTACGATGACACGACGAATTAATATTAGTTTTTTGGGAATCTGTTACTATTATTTGATTAATAGATGAAGGACGTGTTAATATATGTAACTTTAAATTAAAAATATGAGGATGAATTTACGATAAGCGGCGCTAACGATTCCCTGTATCTCTCCACCAATCAACTCTATCTATAGGTAAATAAACTAATAAATGAAACAAACTATTCAAGGTAAAATAAAATAACAACCGAAGGCAGTGTTTTTTTTTGTTTAGGGCTCATACACAACCCTAGTATCAAGAGAGCTACAAATTTTATAGCATGATATTTGGGTCCCTGGTGACATAAATTTTTCTTTGTTGCATGATCCCCTTAATTAAATACTAGAATTTTATAGAAACCTCGAGCCAGCCCTTTCTCAAAAAGAAAAAAAAAAACTTCAAACCGATGTTCAAAATCAAATATATTATATATAGACCACTTCTACATATAATTATAAACAAACCCAACCCAGTTAATAAACCGAGCAAAACCGATATAACAATAACATTAATCAGAGAAAGAAATAACATTTGTTCCAATATATACAAAGTCATCGTTAATTTAGACCACAGAAACTTTAGAACATAAAAGATTCCAAAATATTTTCATACACTGATTAATGTTCCATTCATCAAATATTTTCGCTAAGATTCTCTACTCCATTTTTTTTATATATCTATAATAATAAATACGATCATAAGGTAATAAAAAGGTTAGATTGAATCTAATCAGAAGTAGACATCCATGATAATTCCTTCATACCTTTATTTCTCACCGCCGCTAAATTACTCTCCGATCCAGAAGCAACCGGTAAGGTGTAACCATCGGATCTTTGCACCATGTATTGTTCTCCACCACTGATTGATCTTAGCGGATCACTATCGGTTTCAGAATTCTTGTCAAATCCATGCATAGTGCTTAGGGTTGGCTGCGTCATCGATGAGGATGAAGAGGCGATAACATTGTGAAGCCCCACAAAGTTTGTTCCCACGTCCACATGTTCAAACCCGTTACTCGTTCTCAAGCTCTGGCTGTTGAGAAAAGGGTTTGCGATGGTTTGCATGTTCATGCTATGGAGAAGACTCTGATGATAATCTGTAGAAGGTGGTGAGATCATTCTGTGAGGAAAGGGTTTCAAGGGCTGTGAAGATGAAGAAGGGGCAAATAGGTCAAATCTTGATCTTGGGAAAGGAGAGGATGATGATGATGATAATCCGGTAAAAGGATTTGAAGGGCTACCAGTGAATTCTTGAACCATGGCTTTGAAGTTTGATGTGTCGGTGGTCAAAACAGTGGTTGGTGCGCGTCTCGAGACTCGAGATCTCTTCTTTGGAACCCGTGTTGTCACGGCAAGACCGTTTTTCTTGTCGGTAGGGACAGAACTAATGGGACTACTTGTGTCTGTGTTTGAGACTACTCTCAGATCTTGTGGGTTTGTGAAGAAGACTAGTGGTGGTTGTGTAGAGCCATCAGTGGGCTTCGTGGTCGTTGTTGACCAGAGAGGATTATCTGTTGACCAACCGGTGTTGAAATAGTTAGCTATGAGAGAGTCAAGCTGTGTTTGACCAGTGGTGGTTGCGTTGTTGTTGTTGAATAAAGCAGAGATTGATTGATCGGCGCGTGAGTCGTACTCTTCTTGTTCCCCTCCACCACCGCTTGAAGATTGCATGCTACTACTGTTGCCGGAATCCATGGTAGAGACGGCTACAGAAATATAGATGATGGCTTAGAGAGAGAGAAAAATGATGATGATGGTTTAGAGAGAGGAATGAGAAATAATGGAGAGGGTTATGATTATTATTATTATCTTGGCTTGTAGAGAAACTTCACAAAAAGAGGAAGATAGTGTGAACGGAATTGAAATTTGATGGTTGTGTGTGATAGAAAAGCCAATAAAAGTGGACAGTTGCTTTCTTCTTGTACTAAATTTTTACTCTCTTTACCTTTTGTTCCCTTTTTTTCTTTACTTGAGACTTGAAACTAGGGCTAATACATGGTGGTGTATAAAAATATCGAGAGAAAGAGAGTCTAGGTGATCGAATTATGGCTTTTGATCGTAAACCTAATCACCTGTTGATATTATAGTATAGGTTATAATCAAATTATCCTTTTTTCAAATAGTACGTATTTAAATCGCATTTACAACTTAATTCAAAGTTATAAATGTAATTACTTGACAGTAACACAAATTTTAAGAACATGGATATTTTGTTCAAACATGAATATATATATACATACGTATAATCCGTTTTACTATCATTGATTTTTTTTCATGGAGTACTTTTAATAAAAAAAATTTTGTTTTCATATGTGAATGGAATAAAAGAAATGGTTACCAACATTGACTATTTAGCAGTAGATACCTATTATATGAGGTTTTAAATTTTTTTAAATTATTTAAGTTTTTAAAATATAATTAACAGATAATTGAGTAAATGCTTTTAGAATTTAGGTAAAGGGTCGTTAATCTGTATGAAAATGATACAAGCAATAACCATACCTCCTTCATTATTTTCTCGTACTTTTTACTTAAAAATGATATTTTATTATAAGAAATTTTCTCTATGCATTAAGAGAATTGCATGTAGAAACGGTAAAATTTCAATAAGAGGCTAATATGTATTCAATAGTCGGCATCTATATGTGTTACTTTATGCACAAAGTTGTGATTACATGTGAAATAGTGACATTTGGTATGATTAATAGAGACATCAGACATGTACCAGAAGTTGTCAAACAGAGCACAGCCTTTGACCGGGTCAATGATCGGTGAGACCAAATTAATTTAGCAAATGGAACAATGTGTGTATCCCTTTCCTGATTTAAATCGTATTTATTGTACTTAATTTTCCTGAATCTATGTTTGATATGATTTGTTATATGGTCTGGACTCAGACAAGACGAGACCATTTGTAACTTTCTAAGATACAAATAAACCAAACAACTTTAGTTGTGCATAAGGAATTTGGTTCTTTCAAACACTTTTTAAACACAAGTTAAAATTTGATGATTATGGAGTATATCAATGATATAATAACGTTCATAATTTATCCATTTTTAGATTGATCAATAGTCTGGACGGTAGATAGATTCAGTTTAACCACGAACTATAATGTAACTAACTACAGTCACAGTGCAAATACAGAAACATTTTTATTCTTTTTGTTTCTGAAAATTTAACTAAACTTTAATGACTAAACAATTATGGATCCAAAAACCCGTACATTTTTAAAGCGAGATACAGACCGTAACTCGATACTATTCAGACCGTAACTCGATACTATTCAGAAGAACAAATCCTCCCATGAGATACTTTTACATTAAACTTGGAACTCAAATAAGTTATGCATATAATAGTTATTTCTCAAGTACCACCAACAGCTTCTAGATCAAATCAAAATAATTTGTATAATTCGATATTTTATAAGCCAGCAAAAGTATTTTTGACCAGCAAACTTATTAAAGTATTTGCTTTTTAGATTATGCTTTTCACGGATTTAATTGGTTTAGGGATAATTTAGAGGTGGCTGTGTAGTTGTTGAGGTCATTGTCGTTCTATTCATAGCTGTTGTCTAGTTGCCTAGATTTGCTTCTCTGAAGATCAAATCTTGAAGTGAAATCCCCAGAGCTGACATCTTCACGTACTCTTCACTTGTTTGATAAACAAATTAATCTATTTGGTTTTCTAAATATATATAAACTTATAATAATCTGTTATGACGCTTTCTTACGTATTTCCATATCCACGAAATAATAAATGCTTCTTCCATTTTTTATATTTGACGATCTAGAGGAATATTTATATTTCAAATTTTTGAATATTTTTAAATCTCTAGATAAAATTTATCAATAATTAATTTAGATGATCAATAATATTTCAATCTTAATTTTATTATTGGTTGAATTATAGTTAGATAAATATGTAATAATATTTTCGTTTAGAAAATGAAAAATAATATTTCACTGATTTGTATTTTTATTCACGTGCCTAACATTACTATTAACGTCTTTATATAAAAAGTAATCATAATAATTATTTACATGAATTTTAAGTTTGATGTATATTTTTACTATAATTTTAGCATGCCATGTACCGTTCACATTGAACTCTCTCCACAGTTTGTAAAATATTTTGACAAAGTTTATTGTATATTTTTACTATAATTTTCGCATGCCATGTACAGTTCACATTGAATTCTATTACATCATTTATATTTAAGTTTGAATGAAAGTATTGTTCAGACTTCAAAGTCTATAAAACAAACAATTTAGGAGCATTTGCATTCCTTAAATGTTTAGTTAATCAATGGTTGATAAAAGATATCGGTTGATGTGGGAACGGCCTCGTATAGATATCGTGACAAATAAGAAAAAAAAAATTAGATTGATTGGACCCTACCTTTATAAAATCACAATTTAAAAACAATTAACATAACCCTTGCCACTGTTGATATTGACCGTGCTACACATATCTAAAGACACATGTTATTGCTTACTTTTAAGTTCTAACTTTTAACTTTTAACTTTTAACTTTTAACTAGAAGTTTAGAACTAATCATAAATATATAAATAAAATTTTTGAAGAATAAAACAAAGAAGAATTGTTTCAGGGATATTGCCCCATGTTGAGGTGCTCAAATATGACAAGCGGTCTGATTTCCGACCCAAAAATCTATTAATTTACATTAAAAAAATGAATCCAAAAGCTAAATTTATAGAATGCTCAATTTATAGCATATATCCGATAATCAACAAAAAAAAAAGTAAACAAAAATATTTTCAAATAGTTTTACTAAAATAAAGCAAACAATACCAATATATATAATGCTCGTCTAAATAATTATATTTTAACATTTTTCTGTTATCAAATTAATACCGTAAATCATTATCATCTTGATATATTTTCTACAAAGATAATGTTCATGATAAAGACATGGACATAATCAAACTCATAATTAATATTATCATTATGCCATTTTTCATATTCAAACTTTCATAATGCATATCTACATTTAAAAAATTCGTCAATAAATTTTTAAGGGAAATTGGACCCTATAACCACACAAAAATCTATAATTAACTAAATAGCCAAAATTATACTCTCTCTCTCCTTCTTTCTTCCTATCTCTCTCTACTCTCTCTCCTAAAAATTAATTTTCTTTTTTTTCCTAGCTATTTGGCAAATAAGCCCAATTTTTAATTTCTTTTTTGAAGCGAATGTGTAAGCTGTTACCCACAGGTAAGCAATAATTATTTTCAAACAAAAATAAATATTCCCACCACTTGTAAGAATATTTTTGTTTTGTCTGTTAGGTTTTGTTGGTTTCCTCACTGGCTTTGATTCTTTGACATCCCAATCACTCGCCGAGAATCGACACTTGATATCATAATATCTAAATTTACAGAATAATAAGTACACTAAGATCCTACAATATCTATAATTATATATTATTTATTTTTTCTGATAAGACTTATTTTATGCGATTTGTTGCTGTAAGCTAGCTAAATGAGAGGTGTAAAAAACTAGCTAAAATGAGAAAAGTATTTGAAATTTTGACCTCTTTATTTTATGTAACAGTTTCGATAACTGTTAACTTTTATGATTGTAGCAAAGCGACTAGACACCACGAAGAAAAATTACAAGATCTATCTTTACTAATTTTCTTTGTAATCTTTTTGACTTATGTTTGAACAATTCAATCGTAATTTGATTTACTTATTTTTATACATAGACAAAACAAACCAAAGAGAACCAAATCTCTAATATGAAAAATGTAGAACTTTGTAACCAATAAAATAATGAAAATGTATAATCATCGCGACAAAGTTGATTCCGAAAAATAGAAAACAATACTCTGAATCATACATTCGAAGTTAAACCATATCCTATTATTTTGCTATGTACAACAATGACATTCAAACAAGCAGACATTCAACAAGAGTGCTTGGAGTTTAAGTCTATGAATGGAAGTCAGATAAAAAGCAGTTCTCCTGCATCAGTGGATAATCTGCCATTTATTTGCCATTCACATTTTTTAAAGTTAATAAAGAGAAAAGCAGGAGAACTGCATTTTTTTGTCTTTTTCTGCAAAAAAGCAGTTCATCTGCTTGCAGTTTCACCTACTCCTATTTTGGAGCTGTTCACTTGTTCCACTTCCTATTTAACCAATATTTATTTTAAAAAATAAATTAATTCCGAAAATATTAAATTATTATCTATAAATATAATTATTTATAGTTCTATATTTCAAAAAGGGGTCTCGTGTTTTGATATAGGGTTTGTTTATTGTACTGAAATTTATATAATTATAATTATAAAATAAAATAGATTTTAATTCATATATATTAAAAACAAAGATTATATATTAATAATTTCATAAAACTAAATTTAGTATAAAAATATTTATATAATTAGTGTAAAACAGAAGTAAAAGTAAATATATCCCCTACTAATTAATGACACTAAATTTTTTTTCCTAACAACTTTTGTGTATATATATATATATATATATATATAGTTATGAATGTAATTATTATTAATATTACATATATTTATGGATATATCAAAATATTTCATTAAATTATTTTACTTTTGTTTGTGTATTATTTATATATAATGTGTTTGATATTTTGATGTTATTTTTATATTTAAATATGTGATTTACACTTTTGAACCATTTTTGCCATTCATAA